GGAGGGGGAAAGTGGGGGTAGTGAAGGGCTGGGGTTCAGACAGACATGGAAAGCTGGCAGCCTGAGAGATGGTGCCTGGCCACAGAGGGGAAGCCGAGAGCTCATGAGATGCTCACGTCCTGATGGTGCCAGGCTCCCCAGAGAAGGAGGGAGGGTCGAGAGGAGTTTAAAAGCACACAGCCTGGCTACTTGCTCTCCTCTAATGCTGGGCACTGTGGGAAACTAGGGGCCGGGGCCTTGGCAAGGGCCCGGGAATATCTGCTGAGGGGTCAACTCTCTTTCACCAGGTGGTGAGAAGATGAGCAGGGCCGACAAGAGGCCCACCAGCTGGGCAACAGGGTCCCAGCAGCCTGGGCAGTAAGAGCAGACGTGAGCACGTCTCTCCTGGCGGCGCAACCCAAACCTGACCACTGCTGTTGCTCGGGCCCAGTCCCATGTGGCCTACAGAAAGGTGTTCACTGTATACCTCTCAGCCAGGTGTACAGTGAACAAAGCCATCCCAGGGTCCAACAAGAAGGCAAGCACGAAAAGCACTCCCCCTCTCAGATGCCCAACGGCTGGCCGGGCTGCCACTCAGCAGTGCGGGAGGAAGGGCACCTGAGCCCCGAGCATCACCTGCCTGAGAACTGATGACGTGTCCAAAGGGCATGTCTATATGGGGTTCTGTGGAGAAAGGGCAGGGCACCCAGTCTGCCAGCTGCAAGTTGGCTGTGACAACGGGAGTCCCCCCCACCTCAACCCCCGGGTGGAGAAGGCACGGAGTTTCTGAGTGTCATCTTGTTCTGCAGCCCGTTGGCCAGCTTGAAATGGCAACTTCCGTAGCTGGGTAAGCCCTGTGCGGCCTGGTGTACCCCCAGTGTCCTTAGCCTAAACTGTCCCCACAGAAAGCCACTGCCACCGAGTCCGTTCAACTCATAGTAACCCCAGAGCACAGAGACGTGGAGCAGTGACGGCTGAGTCAGACCTGTGCAGGGTGAGGGACCGTCCTGCACGCACCACCTGGGTGTGTGTCTACTCGGACACAGAATGAGTTCTGGCGGGTACTCAGCACCGCACAGCAGAGGTGCCTTCCCCCTGCTCTGGAGGCACTGCAACCCACTGACCCTGTGGAAGTGGCAGAGCAGCAGAGGCAGACAGCAAGGTCTTCTCTGCTGGCCCCATGCCCTCCCCTCAGGCCTGCTTCCCACCGGTGGGCAGAGATCCTGAACCAGAGCAGCTGTGATGCTGCTAGCCTGTGACTCGCGAAGGCTCCCTAAGGTGGGAAGACCACACACAGGAAGCAGAGCAGCCCCTTGCCTTTCTTCAGACTGCTCAGCTGCTCCCGGGAGCACACACACCTGGCTACATACTGAGAACGGGTCAGGAGTAGACAGTGGGCAGCGGGGCAACCCCCTCAGCTCAAGGAGCCCCCGAGAAGGGACGTGCATGTGTGGCCCACAGAGTGGCCTACCTCCAGAGCGTCCCCAGATATGACAAGTGCGCAGTCATGCTTTCTCCGGAAGGCGTTGAGCTCCAGGTGGGCCTCCCCCCGGCTGGTCACCTTTGCGGGGAGAAGAATCTGTTGGGTGGGTCGCTGGGTCCACGTGTGGCTGGCGGAGGTGCTCCGTACAGCACGGAGGAGCCTGACCAGTCCAGGATGTGCTATTACCTGCACCTCAGCCAGAAGCTGCCCTGGAACCTTCCATAGCACTGGGGTGACAGCCTGTGTGCCCTCTCATGCGCGTCCATCGCAGCTTTCCAAGAAGGACATGGCAGTACCCGTGAAGGAGAGCAAGAGCGGGCGGCAGGGCAGGACACTCAGGCTTCGGGGAAAGGGGTCCCCATGAGCACGTCCGGGTGGCCACTGGGTGTTAGGCGTAGTGGTGGCCGCCCACTCATGTGCTCAGCCCTGTCCATGGGCTAGACGCCACCGGCGCAAGAGACAAAGTCCATTGGGTTTTATAAAGTATGTCATTTGCTCTAACAGGCCAACAGATGCAGAACACTTATGAAAACAGAGCCCCATCTGCCTTTGCCACAGGTTTGTTCAGAATCTGAAGATGAAACAATTTCAAAGAGCAAATGCCGCCACCATCACACATGTGCATTATGTTTGGGGTGAATAGAAATCAGAAATCACAGGGGTGTGAAAAGTGAGAATGCTCAGGTGGTCCAAGAGAACATGATCAGAATCGTCTTTGAATAGGTAGATTTGATTGTGAAAATTAAATTTTTCGTCGTCCTGACACTGAAAAGCCAACAGAAATCGATCAGAAGTTTCACTGGCACCATTAATAATTTAACTGCAAACTGCAGTTTGCAGGGCCTGGTGTGTGGCTCCAATAGCCCAGAGTGAACCACATTTACATGTAAATGATATTCAAATAAAGGACCCTGCCGGGGCGGGTGGAGCATTTGGAGCAGACTCCTGAACATGATGTCTGCTTGCCCACCATCCATCGAGACCCAAGGACTGTTTATTTTTTGTTTGAATTGGATTCCATCCTAACTAATACACACAGTGCACATGTACATTTCCATCACTCCTACTGGGGAGGCACGAGTGACTGCAGGGAGACACTCAGTCTGAACTGGTGGTCGGTGAGGGGCAGGTCCCTAGTGGGGCTTACAGCAGGGTCGGGCGGCAGGTGAAGGTGGATGCTGCTGGGAGAGGCACCTCCTTTCTAGGGACGCAGAGCGGATGCCACTGCAGCGGGGAGAGCTGCACCTGCCCTCGGCCTGCGCAGGAGCTGCGGAGGGGACAGGTCCTGCACGCAGCCCACCCTTCCTGTGAGAGGAGCCTGGCACCGCTCCCAGCCAGGCAGCTGCACTCACCGGTCGGAAGACATGGATCTCCTGGGTGCGGGACACCAGGTGGGAGCTCTTGGCGATGCAGGTGGCTGTCTCGAGTTTGTCTCCTGTCAGCATCCATATCTGTGGACGACCCAAGCTGATGAATACACGGCATCCACCCTTCTCTCCAGCGGGGCTGGGCACGTGGGCACGTGAGCGAGGCCTACACAGACAGGATTGTGTGTCCCCAGCAGGGGGTTGCTAAGCTGAGACGACCCTGAAGGAGAGACACGTGGGCCAGGGGACACAGCAGGGACTGATCACTGGGTTGTTCCTGGCACTTGTACACACGCAACACTATGAACACAAGCCTCCCTCCAGCTGTCAAGGGCATCGACCAGCCGAGCAGGCTTCTAAAGAGCCTAAAACTGCCAACACAGCGCTGCTGTCAGTACGCACACCTCTGCCAGACACACGGCTGGGCTGGGACGCTTGAGTTCTCAGCGCACCCTCCTCCGGGCCCTGCGCCCTCCTGAAGGGCCAGCCTCCAAGAAGCCTGGGACCGCTGACACCCCGACAGTGCGGTCTGGGCCTCCTCCAGGGGCTCCAATTGTGTCCTGAACAGCCTGAGGGGATGAGACCGGCCTGTACGAGGGTGGTGCTCCGAGGACAGTCCTGGCTGTCATCGCGGTGGGAACACGCCCCTCGACACCACTGTCCCCACGAGGGCAGCTTTCTCCAGTCTTCCCCAGAGTAAACCCGTGGGGTCCTGGGTCCCTGGAGGAAAGCCATCAATGTGACCCCTTTAGAAGTTCCCCAACAGCCACCACCACCTCTGAACTGCTCTTGCTGCGTGAACTCAGAAGCCCAGCAGAACTCCTTGCAGGCCTGCTGCTGCCTCAAGGTTGCCCTCTTGTTCCCATGGGAAATCCACGATTCCGTGCCCAGAACCCCTCCATCTGCCTGAAAAGGCTGATGGGAAGACCAGTCCTTGGGGCTAGCCAGCCTGTTCACCACACTCTGGCATCAAAGGGGCAGCCAAAGTGGCCAGGAGGGCGGCTCAGAGCTGAAAGTGCAGACGCCAGGGCAGCCTGGTGAGGACATGGCTGTCCATCTCTTCTGTGTTGAGACTTGCGCCAGTTTCTTCGTCTGTCCATCCGTCAAGGGGATGTTCTCTCCTCCAGAGTTCCTGAGGCCTTCCCAAACCTCCTGGGAATACTGCTGCCTCTCTGGGCAGACCCCAAGAGCCCATGGCCAGCAAGCTTTCACGCCCACGGACCGTGTCCCGGGTTCAAGGAGTCACGGTGCGGGCAAAGAGCACGGAAGTACCCTGGACTGTCAAAGGGCAAACAAATCTATCTTGGAGTTAGTGGGACCGTGGTGCTACAACTGTGGGGATGGCACATGGCTGGGCAGTGTTTTGTGCGGTGGGACACATGGGCTGCTGTGGGTCTGACCACCACCACCAACAACAACCACCACCCAGTCTTAACATGAGCCCGGCTTCCTCTGCCCCCCTCGGAACAGCGGGTTGCTTGGACGGCCAATCTTTAGGTCAGCGCCCCAGGGCAGTGTGCCCGTAAACTTGTTGTAAAGCTTCATGATTTAGGGCAATATCCACTTGGAGTTTTGTTAGACATCTGCTATGAACTCTGATCTCCATCTCTTGGATTTCCACGGCACAAAAAGTACTCTCTTTCCGAAGGCACCCGGGGAAACCTGGACCAGCGTGCTCCTCGGCTCGTCTGCAGCTGTCACTGGAGGCAGACATGTTTGGAATGAGCCCACGCCTGCTGAGTGGGGACCCCATAGCTGGGCAGTTCTGCTGTGTGGGTGGCACCAGGGGAGCCCTGTACCTTGATGCCTGCGTTCCTCAGCATCTCCAGGGTGGGCCGCACGTCGGCCTGCAGCTGGTCCTCCACCCCCGTGAGGCACAGCAGCTCCATCTCCCGCTCCAGACTCTCTACCACCGCCGCCACCTTCAGTGCCCGGTCATGCAGGCTCAGCTTGGCCTGGCTGTACCGGCTCTGGGGACAGGCAGGGGAGAAGTGAGTGCCTGCACCCCAGGTCTACTCAGGTGGGGGCGAGCACCTGCACCTAGACCTTCTGTGTAGGCTAGTGGGGCGCACCTGCCCTGGAGGACAAGCTATATGGCCTATGAACCTGCTCTGGAGGGGGGGGAGCTCCTTGACTAGGGGGGCAGTCCATGTGGCAAGGACCCTTGTCCTGACCTGAAAAGAGGTGGTTCTCAGCAGGGAGGGAAGGAGGCGTGGGGGTGGGGGAACTGCACACCTCAAAATCCTGGTACTGCTCTTCTGTCAGCGACTTCCTGGCCACCACAAGTGTGCGCAAGCCTTCCCGGGCCATGTTCCCACACTAGGGGCACAGAGACCAGTCACAGTGGCCCCAAGCGGCCCTGCCACCCCACACAGCTCTGTACCCACTTGCGCCTCAAGTCTCCACGCCAGCAAAAAGGGCGGTTGGCAGGTCATCCACCTGTGTGGGTGGTTCTCTGGCTGGTCCCTGGGAACCAGAGCCAGGCCCACTCTACTTGCTGTGGGGCCCCAGGGGACAGAGCACAACTGCCCCTTCAGTCTCCAGGGCTGTCATCTTCACCAGAGCATCGCTGGTGGGTTCCCACCGAAACACTCCAGTGACTGGTCTCTCAGGGTTAAGCACCGACCCTAGGAGCCACAGGACAAGTGCGCTTCCGCCGTCAGACATGGCTCCCAGCGTGCCCCACCGCTCTGCCGTGAGCAGCCACGGGGAGACAGGCAGCATGCACAGGCCAACACAGCTGTCCCTGTACAAGCATGCCCGCACAACCTGCCAACGACACTGATTGATTTGACCTCATAGAGCTAAATAAATGAAACAAGTATTTTATAATTAACTACACGTCATGGTGAGCAAAAGTAATTTTTATGGCATCTGACTAGGTCTCCAGGGAATTTAATTTTAATTTATTCATGCCCCTGATTGAATCAAAGTGCCCTGAAGGGGATATTGATTCATAATTCCAATAAGATCATGACCATGGGGGGGGGGAGGCACACCAGTTGTGATCCCAACGCCTGAGAAGGGGCACGGTGACTCACACATGGACATGCACTCTGTTGGGGTGTGTGTTGCAGCTGCCCAGCAGGGCACCCTGGGTAAACACAGATGCACCTTCCCTAGGGAGCACTGGGTGGCGACAGCACCAGTGGCATTTACGCCCCATTTAGACACTGGGTAAGGCATCAGGCCGCTAACCATGAGATTGGCAGTTCAAACCCACCAGCTGCTCTCTGTGGAAAAGATGAGGCTGTTTGTGCCTACAAAGATTTCATCTCAGAAACCCAACGAAGCCCTTCTACTCTTAGGCGGCTCCACGGAAGGGTTTTGTTTTTTTTTAATGTGCAAGGTAGCATTCCATTAGGCGTCTTTGACTTGGGCTCCGCCAACTGCTGATGTGCTAGTTTTTTAGTGGGCAGTGACTACGACTTCCCAGGGCCTGACAGCAGACATGGTGCACAGGGCTGCTCTCACCCACTCAGAAGGCAGGGAGCACCGCACATGCCCATCCTCTCCGCCCCTCTTACCTCTTCCTCCAGCCAGTCATTGTACTGCACAATGGTGGCCATGGCAACGTCAGCACCCTTCATGTAGAACGTGATTTCGGCTGTGGACTCATCCTGGGAAGAGGAGAAAAAGGTAGGCCTCAGGCGGCTTCGCACACCTGGCCCTGGGCCCCTCAGCCCTCACGCCATCAGGTCAGCTGCATCCCTGGGGCCAACTTCCCAGGTGGGTTTTTGGAACTGGTTGGAAAATAGGGGGCCTGTTTCCACAGCTGCGGGTTGTGCAGTGGCACTGCAGCCCCCGCAGAATGCAAGGTGGGGCCCCGCCTCCCACACAGCTGCTGCCTCTGGAACATGTGGGCGGCCCCGAGAGAGCACCCTGGGACCCACGGCCCCCACCACACTGTAGACGCACCCTGACGATGATGCCCATGCGCTTGCTCTCGGACGTGAAGGGGAACACCTGTAGGACGTGGTAGGTCAGAATCTGCCCTCCAGGAGTCTTCAGCTGCATAGAAGCCAGGTCTCTGCTGACCAAGGTGAGGCCCACGCTCTCCGTCCACTGCACGAGCGCCACCTGTAGGAGACGAGCAGCCCGGGAGGTCACTGCCTAGAGGCAGCTGTGCAGGCCAGCTCAGAGCCATGTCTAAAGCAGGCCACAAGGAGCCCACTTTTGGGGCCCGGGCTCCCCTGCTGCACCACCCTGAGACGTTTGCGCAGGCTGGGCGCCCGGAGCCTGGGTGACTTCAGGTGCACGCAGAGTGAACTGCTGGCCTCATCCACGCCTGGGTGCGAGGCAGTGTGGCCAGCCACCCCTGCCTCCAGGGAGCACTCGCGCACTCTCGCCGAGAGCTCTGCCCGTGGCGTCTTCAACGTTCTTCAGCAGCCCCATGGCACACACGCCTGCATTATTCCTGGGTCTTTCTTCGTCAGTGTCCAACTTTCGCATGAGAGAAGTATAAAAATACGAAGTTAATCCTTTATGGATGATAGTTTTAGAATAATAAGTGGTTTTGGGGGAAAAAAGTCTGTGAAAATGTTGTTGTTGTCCAATGCCATCGAATTGACTGACGCCGTGTGCCCACGTACGTTAATGAGAACAGAGCACTGTCCGGCCCGATGCCATCCGCACCACTGCGGTGGTTCTGCCCCCCAGCTGCAGCCACGGTGTCATGTGAACTTACCCATGGCCTCCATCTCTTTCCTCAGCATGCTGCCCTTCTCCAGGGGTGAGCTGAAGCCTCCCTGATCGCTCTTCTCCCCAGGAGGGTCCTCCCTGGCCCTATTCTCTTCTGGGACAGATGGGACTGTCCTTCCAGCAGTCCTGCCCTCAATCTTCTCCACCGGCACCACCCAAATGCAGCGGTGCTTCTCCAGTCCCTGCTCAGCCTCCACATGCACAGGAGGCAACTACAAATGCCACGGCTTGGATCAGGTGCACCTCAATCCCCTGGACGACAGGGTAGAGCTATCCCTGTTGGGAGCAGGCAGCCTCAGCTTCCTTCAGCACAGCAGCCGGTGGGTTCCAACCACTGACCTTGTGGCTCACAGCTCAACATGTAAGGCCCACTTCACACACGCACACACATCCACAATTCCTGCACACCCACATTCTGTGGGCTGTGGTTCCAGCAAAGCAGGGCAGCCACCGCCCTGCCACAGCACACACGGGTACACAACATCCACCTCAGGACGGAGCAGCTCTGGCACTGGCAGCCCCACGCTGGCAAGACTCGAGCTGGCCTCAGTTCAAGCAGCAACGTGACTGTGAAGTGGATGGAAATGCAGCCAGTCTTGCAATCCTCAGGCACTGGAGATGCCCTGCTGCTGCTGAGGATGGAGCCAGTGCTGCGGCACTCACCCCACCACCCCCACCAGCACAGTCAGAGGGTCTGCAAGGTGGGACGGCAGCCAGGATGGGTGGGACAGGGAAAATGGTTGCAGGATGGAATCGATGCCGCTGACACTTGCACAGTGAAATGGGGCACAAAGAGTGCCAATGACGTGCATCAAGGCTGCGGGCACACTGTTAGGTTCGCCGGAGAAGAGAATCTTGACTCAAAAGAACTTTAGGAACACGTTTTGAAAACCTCACTGGAGACTTAAAGAACGCAATGGCCAAGTGTGTAAGCCCATCTCTTCCTGCTGCTCTGCCGCTTCATTCCCTACTGCCCGTCCCTCACCCAGCCACCTTCCAGGGACCCCCTGCTGTCCTCTCTCATTGTGGAGCATCTCCCACTCCTATCTGGAGACCCCAGAAGGTTCTGTGAATTACCGCTGACCTAAGTCTGAGATGAGCCAGGGCTGCCTTCTGGGTGATGTAAAAGGATGCCCGGGGCTGGCAGCTGGGAGCAGGTGTTGGGTGCCATCGTGTTTTCTCATTCTTTGCGACCTGAGCTTCCGTGGAGACACCAGCCTTCCTGAGAACAGGGAGCCTCTCCATTGAAGTGACAGTGGAGGTCTGGGTGAGAGGGCGGAACACTGGGTGCAATGGGCAGGCAGCTCCTTTCCAGTCACTGAGGCACAGACAGTCCTGCTGGGGCAAGCGCGGCTGGAGGCGCTGTGAGCGGTTGGGGCGGGGACAGGTGCACCTGAAGGGTCTACCTACTCAACACACAGTAGCAGCTTCCTGCCGTGGCTGCAAGTGCCACAGCTCCCACTCTGCCCACAACTTCCAGGCATGCCGAGTGCCTACTAGGCTGGGCCCTTGGCTGAGGCGTGGAGCACAGGCCACTTCTCTAGAAGACACCTTGCGAGCATGAGTGAGAGGGCTCCGCTTCGCCGCCCCACCGGGGCATCAGCACAGGGCTCTTCACCCACAGGCCAGCGAGGGCCACAGGAGACAGACCAGCACTGCACACACGCCACACGCGCTGGTGCCTGGTGTGACTGCCAAGGGCAGACAACTCATTCCCTAGATGATCAACACCTGTGTGCACCTGTGCAGGTGAACGAGGAAGACACGCATCCATGCAGCTCAGGCTCCAGAGCAGCACCTGCTCTGAGGGGGTTGCCCACAGAGACCCACCTGACGGCACCATGGCCCTGCCCGGGAGGCAGACCACCAGTCGGGGCTCACGTGGCAATGCCACTGCCCAGGGCTGCATGCACGGTGGGCAGGTCACACAGAACTGAGGTTAGGCTGAGACCACCAGCCAAACCATCTCCCTAAATAGAGCTCCAGACGCTAACATTCTAAGTACTTAAACAACAAAAACCCCTCCATGCTTTTAGAACAGGGCCCTTGGGTGACTGGGAGATACAGCTGCCATCTGGCTGCCCCTGCAGCGCCCCTTCCAGAAGCCATGTGGGGACGGGGGGCGCCCTTGCTCAGGCCGGGCTCTGCAGACACGGCACCCAGCGTCTGCTCTCTCATGCTGAGCTTTGAGAGGTGTGTGGGGATGTTCCACAGGCTATTTAGTGTCCTGCTGCTTCTCAACACTGTCCAAGCTCTGTAGAAGTGGAACTAATTAAACACATGCCCATCCAGCTCTACGTCATTTCTCTGCGTCCTTAGCAATCTTTGAAGTCAATGAAGTCTTTGTCCTGAATTCCTAATTTGAGACTTAAAAGGTGTTATAATTCTTATAAAAATGTTAATGAAGAGACCTTAAGAACTTCCAACAAAAGCTGCACTGATTTTTCGCAATTAATATTAAGTATACATGTAGGACACCATTTAAAAACTTCTAATAACTTTCTTTGAGGGGAAAAATCCACGTCTAAGTTTCCCACAAATATGGCTGGGATAAGTTATCGTTCAAAAGATAATCACACAGTGTTTCTGACAACTTGGAGGCATGATAAATAGAAACCTCCTATATAAGAGTAGCGTGGTGGCCATCTTTGAAGTGTCACATGACCTGGGCTCTGTCCTCAACGTGGCCCTGCAGTGCCAACATGATGGCCCGTGAGCCAGCTATGCGCCTGGTCCCAGACCGAGGTCTCCGCTCAGCAGCCTCCGGGAACCACACCAAGGGTGAGACACAAGGGACCTCGAGCAGCGTGTACCCCAGAGAGCGGATGCTCGTGAAGAGGATGGGGCGCCAGATTCCACACTGGTCAGGCCAGAGTTCAAGAAGGCAGTGAGGGGACTCTGCTGAGGTGCTCGGCCTCACACAATTTCATGGCGACGCCCCTCGGCGACGCCTGGGAGGGCAGGCCTGGCCTGCCAACCGCAGGCTTGGGAGGGTGGGGCCTGCGTGAGCCCAGTGGGAAGGCAGGGAGGCTCCGCTCTGTGCTAGGTCAGGACAGCTTCTCAGATGCCTTCAATGGAGAGGTCCTGAGAGACACTGCTCCCGGGACATGGCTGTGGATGGGGGACCCTGTGGATGGGGAGACCCGGCGGTGGGGGATGTGGAGTCCCCAGGCCCAGCAGGAGAGGTGAGGCTCTCCTGTACCTGCATGCGCCTCTGCTCTGTGTGCGGCACTTGTCTCAAAGGGGGCACTTGTTAACACCTTGAAAGAACCGCTGTATTGCCGACTTCATTAAGGGAGCAGACTCACAGCAGACACTGTCACGGGGCCTCCGGTTCTCTGCTTTACTGATGGACTCACCTACAAGCTTACACGACTGATGGCAGGGCTTGACTCTTACAGAGCGTATCTCCAGCAATGTGCCGCCTCGTGCCCCTCCTTTGTCTCTCTGCCCCCCTGCTACCAATCCCCCTGATGTCGTAGGCAGAGCTCACAGAACTAGAATTCACAGCTTCCTTGCCCGGGTCTTCAGACACTCAACTCGGGCTTTCTAGGGTCTGCTTGCCAGACTCTCAGACCCTGCTCAGCTTTTGGTGAGGGTGTGAGCATCCCGCTTGCTCTGTGTCCACGTTGCCTGTCCTCACGGGGCAGTGACAGGGCTACAGGCATATATTCCACGTTCCAGAATTCAAGCACCCAGCGTGAATAAGTGGGTGGGTTTTGGTATATTCAGACTGTGCAACTATCCATCTTAAATCATTTGGCTCCTAGAGCAGCCCCATAGTCCTTAGCAGGCCCTGGCTCTCCCTCTCGCTGAGCCCTGGGCGGGGGCTGGCTGACCTCTATCTCTATGTGCCTCCACTTCTGGACTTTCCATGTCACAGGGGCCAGGTGGTGTGTGCCTGATGGGGTCTAGCTTCTTCAGCACTGTGTTTCCAAAGTTCACCTGTTGTAGCATGTACCACAACTTCATTCTTTGATTCCAAATGACACCTGACTCAGTGTGCATACATACCATGTTTTATTTACCAACTTACCAGTTTTGAGACATCTGGGCTGTTTTAGTTTGGGGCAATCATGAGTGAAGACCGAGTTTGGGGTGGATGCGTGCATTTCTCTGAAGTATATACCTAGGATTGGAACTGCGGGGTCATATGGTGTTATCACACCTCATGAGCAAGGTTTCGTGTCCACCTGGCTGGGCCAGGACTCTCAGTGGTCTGGCAGTTAGTGCAAACCCAGCGACCCCACAATGAGATACCCTGGAGGGCACGACCTGTGTCGACAGGAAGCAGACCTTGGGGGAAGCTTGCTCACGCTGGGCTGGGCCTGGGCTCTACCGCTGCTCTTCTTGGACGTGAAGCAGCAACGCGCTGCACTGCCTGCGAGTCCTAGGAGTTGTTCTTCGTGCTGAGCTGACGAGCTTGCGTTCACCCTAGCTGGCCTAGGGGCTTCCTGCTGGGCTCCCGGAGTGAAGCATCTGATCTTGGATCTTGGAACGTACCTGTTTCTACAACTGTTTCCTTGATATAAGCCTCCTTCTAGATACACACATTCCTCTGGTTCAGCTGGACTAAGAGAACCCACCCATCCTAAGACATACGGAACTCTTCCCAAGCAATACGTGGGGTTCCAGTTTCTCCACACTCTCGACATTACCTTGGCTTCCTGATAAAGACACTCGTGCTGTTCCTGTCGAGCTGAGGCAGACGCATCAAGAGCCCCGGTGAGAGGGGAGGCAGGCCCCAGGTGTTCCTGGGCTGTGATCTCCCAGGGACGGATGGCAGTCTGCTCCTGGGGAGCTGCCGGGGAGGGAGGCTCTGACCACCGACTGGCTGGCTAGCTATCCTGCATCGTTGCAGCAGGGCCTTCCACCATCTGAGTGCCCAGACGGGGAAGCTGTATGGCACAGGGAGCTTTCTCTTTTGCCAGGTTCACTAGACCACGCCCCACTTTCAAAGAGTACGTCAAATTTTGTTTTTATTGATTTATATGACTGCACTCTAGACGCGGTTTGAAGAAGCTTGTTGAGTTGACATGCCTGCATGGCTGGTCTGTCACAGTCATTTGAAGACCCTCTGGGGCAAATGCGTGAAAAAAAAACTGTCTGTAAAAGACACCAAGGCTGGGCAGCCGCTGGACAACTCAACAATGGATCTTACCCATCTAAAAACCGCATCATGCGAAATAGAAATGACTAGTTCACCGTAACTAAACGTTTATAGAGTTCTATAGATCTTTAAAATGATTCACATCTCAATTCTCTTTTGAAGTAAATACACTAGCTCAAAACTCTGGCAAGCTAGCAGGGGTTTGACCACGGCAGCTCCTTTCCAGGTGAGGAAAAGGCAGCACATAGGTCGCCTGTGGCAGCTGCCCGCTTCTCAACAGACCGCCTCAGAGTCTGCCTTGGTCACAAACCAGCTCGTGAATCAGCAGGTTGTTTCATGAGTCCCCTCAGCGGTGACTCTCCATCTGTGGGCAGACACAGGCAGGGTGGCCTGCGTCAAAGCTGCACTCAGGAGCCCCCCAGGCCCTTCATCTCACCAAAGGACCTTCTTCGTGCCTCCAGTGCAGGAGAGAGCACCCACCTGAGAGTGGGCCCACTCACCTCATCGGGACTGGAGGCCTGGTAGGTTCGATTCTCGTCGCTGAAGTCCTGGTCAGCCTCTGCGTGCTCCGTCTCCCCGGTGACCCCGGCCCGGGACTCGTACACAGGAGTCACATTGTGACACAGGGCAATGGCCTTCACGGCATCGTGGATCCGGCTGCTGACGCTCTTTCTGACTTTGGGAGCTGAGGCCTGGCCCTTCCTTGGGGGTGTGGAGCTGGCAGCGCTCCCAGGAGCTTGGGATGATGCCTTCAAAAGAGGGCATGGCACGGAGTTAGAGACCAGCCTGAGTGCTGTACAGAGACTGGACTCGGGAACAGAAACTAGTTTAAAGCTCAGACGAGAAAACTAATTTGATGCTATATCTACATTGATCATTGTATGAGCCCCTAATAAAATGTTAAAAAAAAACAAAACAAAAACATCTCCTAATGTGAGAAGTTGCTTTTTATTCAAATAAAGCAGAACATTCCCGATAGGGGCGGAAAGCTCGTTAATCCCCTTTGACTGGCCTTCTGTGTCCTATTCCATTTGTCTTTTCCCACATCTGTAAGCCTTCGTTTAGTCCTTTCTAACAGCAGAGCAGGTGGGCTAGAATATGCAACACAGACGTTTATCTTTCTTGAAGCACAAAATGGCTCAAACGCAGGACACCATTTTCAAGAATCTTCCGGAACCACCAGCCTTATGGGAGGCATCGTTTTTTGTGGCGTTTCAATTTCCTCAACGAAAATATAAACCGCTTATGTTTGCCTCCTACCATTGATGCGAGACAAATATATATCCAAATTCATTTTCTTCTAAGCCTTCCGACTGCAAAATTTTCTGCGTGGTACACCTATCTCTATGGATACCTGTCAATTTGATGTGAATGTAAACTGAGTCTTAATCCCAGTCAATCAGTTTGATTTGGGAAAGCATTCCTTCAGTAATAAATAAAATGTAGTCAAACTGTTCTCAGAGCGTAAACACTAAATGTAAAGACAGACAATGCAGCACAGACCGCCCCACTGACCGACCCGAATGACCCTTCTGATACATTGAACCCACTGTCTCCAATGTTGCATAATAAATTTTATATAAACACACGGCATCATAGTTTCATTGATAAGTTCATAGTGTGGAATTAATCAGTTGTTTTTGAAAGAGAATGTGCAGTTTCGTTCCCACGTCAATTTGGAGTGTGTCCGTAAAGACTGGTCTCTAAGCAATGTGTGTTCACCTAGTGTTGATGCTGGAAAGGACTGCAGGGTGCACCCATCTACTCTTTCCCAAGAAGCTGACCCTATGCGTGTGTGAAGACCAATGTCCACTCAGCTCTTGTCTGGCTCAGGACCCTCCCTTGTCCACCCATGGAAGCTGGCTCTTCAGGGAAAGGCCGTCTTGGGGTAGGCAGCCCATCACACGGACAGCCACTTGTCCTGCCAGAGGGAGAGCTACAGAGCCGAGGGCTCGCCTGCTTCCCCTGCAGTACTGCTCCAAGCACACCTCCTCAGTCTCTGTGTTCCGCAGACACTGGGCGGCTACACACCCGCAGCATGCAATGCTACTGATGCCTGTCGGATCTAATCCCACACACGTTCTATTCACCATGAGGCCCTCTCTCCCCATATGCTTCCAGTGGGCACTACAACCAGGCTATGCGAGGTCTGCCATGCATGCAGTGTGCCTCGGTGGCCTTGCCACCCTCATCGAGGAAGGGATCTCAGCACACTGGGTGCCAGTCCCCCCCACCTGCATGTACAAATAATTGTTGTTTTTACATAGTGACTCAGTTATTCTGCTTTGATTCCTTTTACCATTTAGAATTTCCGCCCATTGGTAAACATTCTAGATAACAAAATGTTCTAATATTAACAATGGTACAAATGAATGGATACTGCATCCTAATTAGTCAATGATTTGAATGTACATGCAAGTGAATGCATAAACATTTAGATATTATAAATAAATAAATAAATA